AACCCCCATTTCTTTTTTTATTCCACTCAACCGCGTTCCACAGACTCTGTTTCTCTTCTTGTATTGTCTACAACTTGTTCTTTTATACCGGTCCTCTTTTATAGTTAAATTTGCTTCTCGTGCCACGTGGAAGGTTGGATTTCTATTTCGCGCCAGACTTTTTTCTACCCCAGCTCAGTTTCTTCTCTTTTGTACAAAGCCCTGCTCACGTGAATATACTGTAGTCACGTGTGAGATGGGGCTTCCTTTTTCTTTCCGTTTATTTCTTTCTTGATCGTGTTCAACAAAAGGCGATCAGACAATCGATGTTCCTTGCCCCCAACACCACCGCCAAACGTCCAGTTTGCAGTCACTAGTTCATCATCAAGCAGTTGTTTCATTATCCCCGGTTCTACTGCTACTACTTTGATTGTTATTCTTTGGAACCTGCATCGGCAAACTCAAACTCTGACCTAAGGTCATAAATGTTACTATAATCATCCCTGGTCCAGTGCTGAAAAATATTTTCAATATACAGGCAGATACAGAAAAGAGTACAGTCGGAATCGAATAGAACTTCCGGCCGGATTCAAAAGAAATAGGCACCTAATCAAAACCCAATGTTTGTACATTAAGTTAAAGTGACCATATTTATGCCTCCACTGAATCTGTCGATCAATACAACCGTTCAGTCAGTTTAGCGTCATTCCATGATGCACGATATCTGCTCAGTAAGAATGGTCAATGAATGAACAAGGTTTTATGACGGAAAAAAGACTGATCAGATAACATTTGTACAATCGCGTGATGATAGAAAACGAGGGGCAAAAGGGAGGGGTGGGTGGGGGATGGGAACACGGGGTGGACAGTATACTCACGAACAAATGTGACTCGGATGGATTGCCGATCCCAGCCAACCTCATTGGCAACCACACAAGTCAGGTTACCATGATGCAACTCTTTGCGCAATTGTTTGACCGTCACATGAACGGCCGAATTGGCCTCAGTGTGGGCAAAATCCGGGACCTTGGTGAACAGACTGTTTGGGATGGTGTACGTCTTGGTCTCGTTAGCTCCGTCGGCCACATACTGAACAAGGATGAGTATGAGTGAGACGAGAAGGGATGTGTTGTAAATTTAATAAAATAAATCGCGGTTAATTAGACACCATACGCACAAAACAATGTAAATGAATATGTGACGTAAACGACATGTCGAACAAACAAACGATTATCCTTCTCAACGTTCAATCCAACCAACAACAGTGGCTCAGAGTTATGAGTTTCGGCCACCAATCCCAACATTTGTGATTCGAATCCCGTCAGGGGTAAAAACATATTACGTATGCATCTTTAATGATTTCGAACCACGATTTTCCAGTCTTACACCAAAACAAAACGGATGGATTCTGTGAAGGATAAAACCAACTATCAAAAAGCGTGACCCGCAAAAAAAAATAATATATGCGGACCGGTGACAGAATTGTCAAGTCCATATTTAAGTTTGGCTCTGATCCGACTGAAAGCTTCAAAATCGCGTTCGCGATTCCACCAACCCCTCCGATCACCCGCTAAATTGTCGGCCGTATGAGTTATTCATTTATTTATTCAGTGAGCCATTCACTCTATCCGGTCATTAAAGTACCGTCCCTATTCCTACTGATAATACTACTCCATGTTGGTAAATGACAAATTTAGAACAGGTGAGACTGGACGGGAATGTATGCACACTTTATGTCCGTATACGAAGTGCTTAAAAGTGAGGCAAAAAGTCGAACATGTCGGAGACGAAACACCGGTCCAAAAAGTCACAAATGCGCACGCGCGCACGCGCAGAAGCACAGTACAGTAAATAAACTATTATCAACAACCTTTTCTACGATGATGGTATGTTGATAAGCACGTGGGGAGCGGGGTTCAAGATGTTATCCATGGATAAGGGACTGTGAGAACCAGTTCCCATTTACTCCGTTCCCATCAGACTCAAAGCGAAATTTTTCCATAAAATTTGCATACGCGTCAGAATCCAGGCAGTGTGCCAAACAAATCACGGTACAATAATCTTTATAAAAAAAAGAAAAGAAAACGACCCATGAGTTGCTCGAGAGCGCGATGCAGCTAGTTTGCCCAGGCCAAGGCAGGTGAATTTTCATGGGGAATCCACAACCGAAGCTTTCGGTTAGCCAGAGCCTGACGCGCAAGATATTGCGGAGCGGTGTGTGAAAACCGCAATCCATTGGGGGCCGGTGTCCAGTTCATCGGGTCATACACCCTTCGGACGGGGTCAAACGTCCAAGGTGTCCAATACACCTTGATGCCCAATCGAGCCGGTGACTATTACCACGACCAGAAAGATGTGGGTGGGGATGTTTCGTACTTGGTTGATTTGGAATCAGGGTTTTTGGCCAACTCCTGCACTAGGTGAACTGCTAGTGGTTTGCCAACCCGGTTATAGGCCCCGGATATCGGCCATTCGTCCTCTCACTTTGGTGGTTAAAAAACTCTGCAACGGTATGGCAGTGAGTAGGGCTTCCTTAGCAGAAGTTATTTGAGACGTTTGATCGTATGGGCGCATTTCGCGAGGTGCAAGGGCACAGTGAACAGCCGCAACCCTAGACACTCAACCCCGCAACCATACTGAAGCTCTCGACGTGAACGTTTGTGTCAACGGTTGGAATAGTGGAACAATCGAACGTACACTCCTTGTAGAATGTACTCGGTAGCAATGTACATTCGGTGTGGAAACAATTCTGTTCACCAACCGGATAGAATCATTCAACCAAGAAAGGTTTTCAAAGTAGCTCCATGATCGTAAAAGTTTCACCTACAGATAGATTGAGATTTGTCAGGAATCCCATTCCTAACGAATGTCTATCGATCTATCTGAATGTCTATCCCCTATTACCAGAATGGTAATGGTTGGGATCTTTCGTGGAGAAAATGTCGCATTGAATTATCTCGATACCCGATTCCCAAATTATCTTCCGATAGCGTTCCTCGTTCAGATAACGATTCCACGAACAGTGAAGTACAACACAGTTGGAAACGTGTAGGAATTCATTTATTATCAAGAAAACATGGTTATCTATGGAGATGAGAGTGGACATGGGAATGCATACACCAAACGATTGGTTAACTGGATCGGTTGTCGGTTCCGGCCAATCATCTGAGTTCAGCTATCCTTTTTCCGATTGGTTGTCCCACGACACGCTGAGTCTCTGACAGATGACCTTGTGAAACACTCTCATGTTTCGGGTCAATGACTACGTATTACGAATTAGATGACACGCGGGATCGATTTGGTTATCGATATTCGAAAACACGGGTAAGGCAACCGCCCATATCGATCTGATCGCACAGGGATTGAACTGATGCTAGTGACCTATTGATTCAAGTGACACCAACCGACTAATTGGCCTCCACGGCTCTGGATTCGAATCCCGTTGGAAGTGCTCAATTTTGGTGTTGTCATTCATTCGGTTATTGTCTTACTACTGTAGATATTTCTGACCACGAGGTTTTCACCCATCGTGATGATATAGCATGCCACAGAAACAGTCCAAACTCGCTCACAGATTGTGTTCGATCCTCCGATTGATCTACTAACTCGTTATTTATCGGAATACAGAACGTGTAATAATCGGATGTTCATCTGCGAAGAGTTCATTGGGATCCGGAAGATCGCTTCAAACAGGGCTGTGGAATTCCATTAAAAATAGTTTTCTTTAAACAGGGACCGAAAGATGGGTACATTGATCATGGAACTATTGAAGCTTCTCCTAGAGTCATCAAAGAGCATAATAACCTTGAAATCGGAAATCATCCTTGTTCTTCCAGAGACAAATCGGTAGTCCGTCAAGAAAATAGCAGCCTGTCCATTGTTTTAGGTCCTGTTGGTAGTGATAGCCGAGTGGCTCAAGTCACTTTCACTGGCATGCTTCAGGTCCGAGGTTCGAACCCCGCCAACAGCATCGACCTCTCATGGTAGTCAAGTTTAGCCAAGTTTTTCAAGTTCACTACCATTTATACTGCCTAAAGTAATTCGCTATTTCCAGTCTCCGGTTCCTGTAACCGAACACCGGTTCCTCGTGATTCGGGGTTTTTTGTATCCCCATAAGGAGTTTGTAATAAAAGAGCGGATTTGCTCAAAGATAGCAACCAAAAATACTGCCACACGGAAATAAGGGAATAAGTATTGGCAAATCAAATTGCACTGAGTTAAGCCGGGGAACAAACACCAATTAATCAGAGAACAGTAGTGAATCCAAGACAAGATTGGAACAAGTTTTTCCCACCCACCCACCGATACTAGCTGAATTCCAACTCGATTCCCAAATACAGTATGTTGCAATATTGGCAGAACAGGTGGTGTTATCGGTGGTGGTGGTGGTGGTGGTGCTGATGCTGATGCTGGCGATGGTGGTGATGGTACAAAGGTTTCGTACGACTCACTGAGATGTAGAACCCCTCATAGCGTTTGTAACCCGGTGGTGGTAAACGGATCACGGAAGTTGAACCTTCTCGCTGGAATTCCCACCACGCGTACCAAGGTTTGTCGGCCATGTTTTGTAATGCACAGCTGTACGATAGCATGTCCCGGGAGTTTTTCACTTGCCTTGTCTGTGGTAGGTCATACAGACGTGGTGCATCTGTTCAACCAAGCACAGAGCAGGAGGACGGGGGGGGCGACACGACAGCGAGCGAGAGAGAGAGAGAGATTAGGAGAGATCAGAAACGCGTGATTCGATTGGCTCGTTGGGCTACGGGTGGAACGTTACGAATGAAGCAACAACAAAAAATGTACATTAAACGATGATCCAAAAGAAAACGCTGCTCAGTTCAGTTCAGTTCTTACAACCGTTAACCATTCACCTTCGTGCGCCGGTTTTGGTTGCTGTAATTTGGTTGCCCATTTGGATGAAACAGCAGAATGAAGGTTAGAATGTTGAGAGTAAATTCAAACGGATGATAGGGCGATAGGTTGCGAGAACAATGAGCAGATACATAAATGCCACTGTTTGGGGCACCCAGCCATATCTCTCAGTGTTTCTAACCATCAAGGACCATGATCTCGGAGTCCCCAGTCAGCGAGCCTAACGGGAACTATGTGAGTCAGCCTCCTGGTTAGGGTTTTCATATCCTCATGCCAGGTCTTAGGTTGACCACCCCTGACCTTTTTCCAACCGGCAAACATCGCTCGCCGTGGAAACTTATCTGGTGACATGCGTAACACACCCCAACCAACGTGACTAAGTGCTCCAGTGGAAGACCGCGATTACCTGACCTCAGCATTGCTCGTCCGGTTGCCACATCAGACTCCTGCAATGCGACATAGACAGCGGCGTTCGAACACCGACAATCTATCCTTTTATCCTGTTCTCGAAATGACCAAGTCTCTGCACCGTAAAGCCGAACTGGCCGAAAAGCGACAGAATATACTCGACCCTGCACCAACAGCCGGATGTCGCGACAGAGCCACAGACGTCTCACGTTGGCTCAATACAATGTTTCTCTCACACTCACTCTCTCCCTGCTTTAGCTCGCTTTCATCCCAGGTGACAAATACTCACGAAATTGACCTAGATTCCTTTTGCAGCTTCACGAAATCTCTTGGGTATGGATCAACTGTGTTGACCGATTAGCACTCAGAAATTCTATCCTTCAAAGTAACCGGTCCGTAAACACACGGACACGGACAGACACACAAACACACACCTTTAATAGTAACAACGAATGGATATGTGACCCGATCGGTGCACAGAAATGTAGCAATTGTTAGAAGAAAAAACGAATCTCAGTTAATGCTTTCTCATTATCATTACCGTTCTCACAGGGTGTTCTATGCGACCCGTTAATTTCATCACTCCCTTGTCTCCGCAAGCATGGGACAGTCTACATCAAAAGCGATCAATAATTCTGAACATAATTTACATCACAAATTGTATCGGTCCACTGTAGATCGGCTGTTTGATCACCGAGTAATCAAATCACGGACAGAGGATTGTGGGTGGTTAAAGACTGATCATCACAGAGTGACCATGAGATTCACGAGCAACTTCGTTTGACCAGTAAAATAGAAAGTTTCTGGCTGGAGATGAGAATGAGCATGTGTGTACTTCCTTACCGTATTGGTGGACCAGAAAATA